ATATTCTATTATCATCTTAGAAAATGCTAGACGCGTTGATTAGAAATCTTTTTGAAGACAAATTTTTATAGAAAATATTTGTAACTTAAAAGCATTAACATCAGTGAAATTAATTTTTAAGGCAGTTTTTCGATGACTGCGTCGTAATATGAAATGACGCTTTTTTTGTGAATAATATGCTATTTTTTTTAACTGCTGTGAGTTTGAAACTGCTACTCGTGACTGTTTGATCAAGTTTAGCCTATCTAAAGTCAGCGCTGTCTACGATAATTTTGAAAATGGCGCAAAACGTCATTATGAAAAGAAGTCATAGTTTTGAGAAAATGAAAAGCGTTTGCTGTCCAGTTTTTTAATATTTATAAACTTACTCGAATGCGCATTACCTGGGCTCATAAAAATTTGAAAAAACTGGGAATCAGGCAATACAGAGCCAATAATTAATACGTGCCAATGATTTTTTCTTCCAACTTTGGCTGATCCTCCCATGCCACTTCGCGATCTGGTCGGACAATTCCCGAAATCAAGAAAAGATCGGACATTGGCCAGCCAATTTACAGCTTTCTTAGCGATTTCGCCGGCCAATTCGCGAAGTGGCCGAATTCGGGCTTTGGCCGTAACATATACACTAACGAGCACTGTATATAAATGCTTGCATGAATGAGTAAAAAAAGTTGAATATTTAGATGCTTACATACATTGTTATTACATAGTATGTCCGTATTTACGTACATTGTATGTGCAAGTATACGTGCAATGTATAAATTATGTGTACATGCATGCATAAGTAGTACACACAATGTATATTAGTATGCATGCATGCACATGTACATACAATATATGCAAGTATGTAAGCAAGCGTACGTATGTGTGTTTAGATGCATATACAGTGTACCTATGTACATAATGTACGCATACACATAAATGTATATGTGTGTATATAAAAATGCACGTACATAAGTACTTATATATGTACGTTTATACGTACTTACATATACGTACGTTTTTACGTAGGTAGGTAGATCTACGAATGTTTTTACGTACGTACGTACATGTACGTTTGTACATACGTTCATATACGTTCGTACAAATGCGTGCGTATATTTGCATATGCAAAACACGTACAAAAGTATATATACAATACGTATGTTCACACAATGTACTTACGTATGCACTATATAATAGCGATGTATATACGTCAGTTACCTCATACAACGTACATCCGACATACATAAAAGAGTTGGTCGTCGATTACAGTAATCGATTACAACTATTTAATCAGCTACTTTTAATAGTAATCACTATTTTCATTGTATGTATTTACGTATGCACAATATATGTGAGCACAATTATGCATACACTGCGTATACATGTATTGTACACATGTACCTACATACATTAGACATGCATTTTTTGTAATTATGTGCATACATGCATTATACATATGTGCATACATATATTATACATGTGTGCATACATATATTGGACATATATATGTTTTGCTCATATGTGGATACAGGTTTGTCCAATGTATGTATATATGTACAATATATGTATATCTAAGTATATAATGATTACTACTAACGACTCAAGCAAATTAAATGACAAAAGAAAATATTTAAAATCAATTGTCAGTTTTTAATTGTTCTATATCATTTTAAAAATATTTGTATAAAATAATCCTTTTCAAGTATTTTTATAAAATTTTCGAGCCTTCAAATTTACTTTTATATAACATAATGCATAGTTCAGAGAAATGATTACATGTCAAAAAAAGCGTTTAACTTTTTAAGTTGAAATTATATTTATAGGAATTTAAAATAAGATTATCGTTTGCTTTCAAAAAGGATAAGAAATTGAGTTTTAAAGATAATAGAACAAATTTTAAAATTAACTTAAATAACTAAACTGTTATAAACTTCTTTTTAACACAACTAATTAAAAGAACACATAAAACAATAATGTTACTCTGAATTAAGTTAAAATAACATAAAAATAAATATTCATACTTGTCTTAGTTTTATGGTAAAACTCCTTATATAAGACGTTAAAGAGCAAACATGTTTTGCATCTTGGTCCGTGGAAAGACTACGTACATACATTGCAAATACATATATTTCTTGTTCATGCACACATTTATACAATATATATACGTAACGTACATCCTTACATTGTATATACACACGTAAAATGCAAGTACTATATACAAACATTTCTGTACATACATATGTACACTCATACATTACATACGCATGTTTTGACTATGTACATAGATTTGTGCGTACATATACTTGCATACAAAACACGTACAAACCATATATGTCTGTACAGTAATTTTATAAGCATAAATATATGTACATGTATCGTATGTACAACCAAGCTCTTACGTAACAATGCACGCACATACCTATATTCATACTATGAATGTACTGGCGCGTATCTATACATACATAAATATATTGTCTCTACATGCTTACATACAAAGTAACATAGATGTTTACATATGTATTATAAGCAAAATTATGTCTGTATAATGTACGTTCAACAAATAACGTTTGTGCATACATACGTACATTGTCTTTACATCTGTGCATTCGTACATATATGTTATATGCATACGAACGTACATACATGTATATGCATACTTACAAATATTGTATGAGTTTAAAATATATCTATGTATGAGCAATTGTACGCATGCTACATATACATACATACGTCTACATACATATGAGCTTACATGCATTGCTCGTACATTAATAAATTGTATTTATATACGTACGTTCATTCTACGCTCTTAAAAATATGTTAACTCATACATATACGTACATACAAACTGAATAAGAATAATTCTGCAATAGTAATTACTTGTAATCATATATTTTAATTACATGTACTCGCAATTACTTGCAATCACGATTGCATGTAATCATGATTACATATATATATTTTGATTACTCAATCATGATCACCAGTAATCGTTTCTTAGTGTAATTACAAGTAACCACAATATAATCTTATTCGGGTATTTATGTATGTATTTCCGTAGGTAATTCTATGTTCAAAAGTTTTCAATTAATAAACCAAACAATAGTAAACTAAACAATTTATTTACATATACAATTTATGCAATGTTTTAAATGTATTTAATTACCTACATCTACAATCCCTATTGCAATGTAATCCAACCCACTTGAAATTATGATTACATCTAATCGTGTTGTAATCATATACATCACAATTACTTGAATTTAAGATTACTTGTAATAGTTAGATTATGATAACTTGCAGTTATGATTTCTTGTAATTTTACTGTATGATTACAATTAGTCATGATAAATTGCAATCCAAGGGCTTGATTATTTGTATTATTTGTAATTCTGATTATCTGTAATAACTTTTTACTGTGATTATAAATAATCACAACCACTTGCAATGAGAAATAATAATTATTTGCTACAGTGATTACTGATTACTTGCAATCACGATTATTACAAGTGGTTGATTAGTAAGCAATCATCATCTATAATTAATTACATTTTTAATCGATTACTGTAATCGACGCGCAACTTGTAATGAAAATGACATAATCTTTGCATTTTTCTCTGGTTATTTAAGATTTTAATCTGAAAAATTAGTTATGACTAAAGAATTTATTCACCAATCATTATTCAAAAATTTGCATGATGAATAATGAATAATGACTAAATTTGCATATGAATAATTATTCAGAAAAAATTTATTCTGATTAAATTTAGTCAGGAATAAAATTATCGTGAATGATGCCAATCACTGGTATATACACACATACATACATATAAACATTTCGCTTCATTTATATAGATTATGCTTAATCAACGTATGCAATTGAAATACTATTCAAAATTAAAGACTTAAGCATTAAAGTGTTATTCTGTTATTATAATAGCTAGTTTGCATAATATTATTGCGTAAATGTTTTATGATAAACATGTTTAATAACCATTTTACAATTTTTAAACTTTAAATAAGTTTATTTCGTTTTTAATAAGAAATAATTATTTTTATAATAGATTCTATGCAAAAGTGTGTTTAATCAACCTATGCAATTAAATTATTGTTCAAAATTAAGGGTTTAAAACTTAAAGTGTTGTTCCTATATTATAATGATGGCATGACAATATTATTATGTAAATTATGATAAAGGATTTTTAATAACTATTCTATAATTTTTTAACTGTAAACAAATTTATTTTTTAATAAGTTGTAATTATTATTTTTTTAAAAATAGTCAACGTTTGCAATTAAAAATAATTAATACGAAACAATTATTTTAAATTGTAAAACAATAATAAAAACTAACTTCTCGCATTATTTCTAAGCAATTTCTATGACGAGTTTTTATAGTAAAATAAATTAAAATTTATTATAACTGAGAGAAATTATTAAACTAAAACTTTTAATTGATAGAATCCGAATTAGCAGCTATTACAATGAAAACATGTTTTTTTTTATTATAATAATTTTAAATTTTAATTATCAAGTTTATTATTAGGAATAAAAGTTTATTATCAAGATTAAAAAACAAAAGAGCAGCAATCAGGGGTTTCTGCGCGAAGCGAGATAAGGATAGAGCCTGCTAGTTATTTTTTGATAGTGGAACTCAAAAAACTTTTTTTTTAATGATAAACACATGAAAGGAAACGAAGATTGAGTAGTTAAATAAATAAAACTTATTTTCTTTTCATACTAATTACAAATTTAAAAGAAATTATTTAATCTCATCTTCATGCATATTATATTTATTACACTGAATTTTCTTTTTATGAAAATGAATAATAATTACGGAAAACTAATTCTCCCAGAAAGTCACTATCTCATCTTCTCCAGGGGGTTATTTCATATCCCTTCGAAAATTAACCAATTTTCCATTCTACCGTAAAAGGAATAACAACGTTATAGTGTGGGAGCGCTGTTGTTCCCTTTTACCCATTTCCCCCCGACCTTCCATCGGGTAGGTAAAAAGGACCAGCCGGCGAGTGAAGCAGTTGTCCGCCATGTTAGTGTGAAGTAAAGTTGAGAAGGAAAAACGTTCTTTTCCATCGTTTAGTCTCAAAACTAATATAGCAAACCGGATATCTGTCGTCTCTATGATGAAGCCAATAATACCCATTGTTTAAGAACAGCAGAATGTCTATAAAAGACGATACGATTTCGAACGGGGGTGTTTGTTTGCGGTTATAATGTATGTAGGAATTGTCAATACTGCGCCTTGACAAGCGGTGTTAGGCCGCCTGCGGGCAACCTCTTTCGGCGGCGATTCGTTTTCCTGCTCCGGTACTATTTAAGATTATCGGCGAACGAAACAATTAAAGTTCGTTGATTAATATAAAAATATAATATAGCTGTATTTTTATGTGTATTGTGATAAAGTATCTTTGAAATCAATAATTTGTACGCATTGAAAATAAGGAAAGGAAAATGTTTCGATCGTCTGCTTCAATAATATTAAGCCTAAATAATAGCAACTGAACTACATCTGTTATTGTTGACATCTGCGAGTTGAATTATCGTCTGCTCCTCGGATTTCGGAGTTTAAGTGTTTTGTGCTACTTCTTGTTTCATAATTGTTGTGCGTTTCTTATCCTTCTATTCTCTATTGCGATGAAATTGTTAATTAAAAGGATTCTATGGTGGATTCATTACACGGATAAAGTTAGAAGACTAAATTCAAGTGTAAAAACGAACGGAAAAATGTTTACTTAGTGTTTACATACTAGTCAAATAAATTAATTAACAATGTCGGGTCACTCCCCCGAAGAGAGGATTAGAGAACTTGAACAAATGTTTTTAGGGGGGCCAATAATTGCTAATGGCAAGAGTTTCAGCATTGAAACATTGCTGGACGTTTTATTAGTATTATATGACGAGTGCTGTAATTCAACGCTTCGGAGAGAAAAAACAGTCTCAACTTTTATTGAAAATGGTGAGTTAGTTATTTCTCTATTAATTGTTATCATATCTTTATATTTTTGTTATAATATTTCCGAAATGACGTATTGATGAGTCATTCTTTAATATATGATGTAATCGAAACTTGCGATCGATGTGAATTTGTTTCTTTGGATTATTTTATATATTAATTCTTCAAACTTATTTTTAGGACCTTTTTATTTATTTATTTTATTTTCCTAACGAATAAGAACACAACTTAAAAGTTATAATGTATGAGGAATCTATAATGTTTTATATTTCCCTTATTAATTCGAGAGAAGTTTATATACATATGAAATGTATTTAAGGTGGTACAAGTAACAAATATTATCTTTGTTACTTATGTAATTTTATTTGTTTTAAATTTTATTAATTATAATCTCTTTTTTTTCTAATATGAGGGTTCTAGTTTTAGAGCCATGTTCTAAATATTTTTTTATGAAAATAATCCGTGCATGTTAATAAAATTTAGTTACATGCATATAAATGGAAGACTTAATTAAAGGAGCGTAAAATTAAGTATTTTTTACAGTTAAAAAAATTTATTAACTGTTTAAAGTAAATTATTTTAAATTATTCCAACTATTGTATTTGGATCGGATGTAATGTTTAAGGACAGAAATGTGGAAATCAGCAATACAATGCCTAATTAAAAACGATGTTGCATATCCAAAAAAAAAAAAAAAAAAAAAAAAAAAAAAAAAAAAAAAAAAAANTGATCTCAAAAAAAAAAAAAAAAAGAAAAGAAAAAAAATAGCTAAATTACAGGGTGTTACAGATTAAATTATAGGGACGCCCCGATAACGTGAGACCCGTGCTCATCTAAAAAAGCAAACTCGAAATCAAATTAGTTTATAAGTGTTTTTTTTTTTTTAAATGAAAACTTTTTTCTACTCAATTTTTTCTACATATAGCAGTATTTGTTCATTTGTTTTGGAGTTTCAAAACTAAACTTATCAACATAATTAAAAAATAAAAATAAAAATGCAATTAAAATTTGTATTAATTGAATCAAATATGGGAAATTTTGAATTTTAATGACTGCAATGTATTGTTAAATTGTAAAACTTTAACTTCAAGAAACTAAAACTAAAAAATAATTATTAGTTTTACTTGATTCAATTTGTAATTTTTTCAAGCAATTCTGTAAGTAGAAAATCCTTCTATCAGGTTTATGATTAACTGTTTTATTAAGTGGGGGAAATCGATCGATATTGTATATTTTTGAAGCTAATGAAGTTTTTTAATCAGGTAACATAATGAAATGTGTTAAAATTTAAAATTTGTTTTCAAATTTCGCTGATTTTACATATTATTCTCAGGAGTATAGTATCGTTCCTAAAATGTGTCTTAATGTATTTTATTTTATTAAAAATCAAAAGCTTTAAATAAATAACTAGGAAACATTTTCAAAAATTCGGTTTTTAAAGAATTATTTGCTGAAAAACTGTTCTTATAATTTAATATTTTTTTTAAGCTAAATTATGGCACTTCTAGGGTTGCAATTAAGTAAAATTTTGTAAGTTGTTCAGAATTTTTAAAACTAATTTCAAATTTCTTACGGAAAAAAATACGGAGTTCTTATTTAATTTTTAGGTTATTCTTTAAACAACTATTATTCTTTAAACAGTTTACATTGATGTGTGAAAGAAGAGTTAAAGATCGAGATGCTCATTTAAGAAAATAGTATGTTCTTCATATTATTTTTCATCTTTATTGTATGGATATAGAGTGTTGCCAGAAAAAAAATTGTATTGCGTTGCTCTTAAAAAAAAAAAAAAAAAAAAAATTCCAATTCTTTTAAAATATTCAGTAGTATTTCATCAAATAGCACTTTTTTTATTCATTTTTATTGATTTTAATGTCAGATAATCTTTAACTTTATGATTGTCAGAAAATTTTTTAGTTGTATTTTTACCTTTAGATGTTTCATTTAGAGCCAGTTGACGTTTTATATGCAGTGTTACCTGATTGGTTCCTCGCGATTTTAAAATCAAATTTGGGCTACTCATTATATTTTAAACTCCAAAAACTTTAAAAATACGTTACTTTTTTTATATTTATTAAAATCGAATTTTTTTAAATTTTATATATATTACTTTTTCTTTTTTAATTAAATTATTAGGACTGGTTTTCGTTCCTTTCAATTGAAAAATAATTTTAAAAACTCTTCAGCTTTTTAACCTTAAAAATATCATATTTTTTGTATAAAAATGTTTTCCACACTATATAAGAAATCGAATCCGCCGTAGTCTTGCGTTCTCGATTTGTTTTGCTACTCGCGGAATTCATTCTTGTTGCCATTCACGTTTCTGAGTGTAGAAGAGTTTATTTTTGTTGCTATTCACGTTTCTGAAGGGTTTATTTTTGTTGCTATTCACGTTTCTGAGTGTAGAAGAGTTTATTTTTGTTGCTATTCACGTTTCTGAGTGTAGAAGGGTTTATTTTTGTTGCAATTCACGTTTCTGAGTGTAGAAGAGTTTATTTTTGTTGCTATTCACGTTTCTAAGTGTAGAAGGGTTTATTTTTGTTGCTATTCACGTTTCTGAGTGTGGAAACATAAAATTTGTTAGATATATCTAGTAGAATGCACGGGGAGTTATAGGGCAAAATTAACGGTCACCAACGGCCACAAAGCAACTATGTATAACAAATAACGTTAAAAAATTATCTACCTGTCACCATCTAATCTTTACCTTATGAGTTGAAAATGCACTCCATGCGCAATTAATTTATTATTTTGAAATAAGTATGGAATTATTATGAATATTTTATTATATTCTGAAAAAATTACTTTTTTTAATGCTTGTTTCTCAAAACTTTTCTTCGTTTTATAAAAGAATCTTGTAGTGTTCATCATATGTTGAGAAATGCTTTAAAAAAAAGAAATGCCTTACATTATTAATATCAACCGTTTTTTTCTCAAAAAGATAAACGCTACACCGTTAAAAATGCTGCAACTGGTCAGTAAAAAAGATTCATATTTTTGTCCTGTAGAAATAAAATATTACTACAAATTGATGGTCTTCTAAGAAAAGTGGTCCTCTTTTAAATATACAATTTAATTGTTTTTATCAGTTTGGTACTTGATGGTACAGAATCACACTGGATGCGAAAAATTCGCATTCAGTGAGATTGCTTCTTAAAGCAATATTGTTCGGCTTGCCAACGGTCTCTAGTGAAAATCACTTTAATCTGATTTATAACTAATGTAAATCTGATTTAATAAGATATGTTGAATCTGACAATTTTTTTTTTATCGCGATTCGTTGAAGTTAGAAATAAATTATATTTTCCGATTTTTGGTTCAAGTGAGGTCAGGGTTCAAGTAAAAATCAGAGAATAATAAAGAAGTACAAATCTTGTTTTATTAGATTTTTGTCAAAAATGATGACATTTATTTAAGCGACTTCGTGATTAAATATATTTATTAGGAATTATTAATCACATTGGTGAATACAAATTTATTTAAATATATTTTATTTTGAAATAATATAAATTTTTCTTAGATCCTTCAGTTTAACTGGTTTGAAAGCGCATGCTATTTCATGTTTGCATTTTCTGCCAAAAATTTAACACGGATTAATGAGATTATTTGTTGCATGTATTCTCCTTTATTCTCATATTTTTTTCTTGAAATTTTATGTATTTTTTATAATTAAATTTGGAGTTCATTAAAATTGGGAGCAATAAAATAATCTGTTTGTATTGAAATAAAAAAAGGACAAAAAAAAATCTGTTATAAACGTTGAGAATGACAATCAGAGAAAGACATTTTTTATGGCTGAATTCGGTTTTCTTTGTTTTGAAATCGAAAAGTTAAATGACTTCCTAATTTATGAAATATATTTATGTCAAAGCTTTTTATTTTATTTTGTTATTTCTCTTTTAACTGATATTTTGCTTAAATAGTTTTGTAAAGATGACCAAAATTTGTATTAAATTAATAATGGATATTTAATTGGATACTAATGTAGCTACATGCTTCAAAACTCATTACGGGTCAAAAAACTAGGGTTCCGCTGGACTAGAAGACTGCGATTGTATTTCTATGGATTAGACACACTTGATTGCTTAGCAGTCATTTTTTCTTTCTTGATAAACAGATTGTTACATTAAAATGAAAAATCATTCAATTAAAAGATCCCAAAATGTTTTATTGTATTTACTCAGATTTAGTTCTGTTGAAATAAAATGTAAACCCAAACATTTTACTCGGTTACCATTGCTATTTCATCTACAATTTTGTTTTTTAAATTCCTGTTTAAGTTTTTTTAACTATGAAAACTCGTTGAATGTTTTTCTCCAAGTAGATTATTTAGTATTAATTCATAAAGTTAACATCCAATATACTTTTTTCCCCTTCTTTTTGCAATTTAGTATGCTTTATTTTAATTACTCTTCGTTGCTGTAACTGTTGACGCAGTTTTACATAAAGCTTTTTATAAAAAAGTAAGTATAATTTTGTTACTGAAAATGGCTCTTAAGTTATGCACTGTTTTAAATATGTTTACCATGAAATGTTTTGCGATATGTAATTTCATAGAATTATGTTATACCTTAGATTTATACCTTTAATTTATAATAATTAAAATAAAAGTAAAAGGTTTTATTATTCATATTATTCAAATATAAATAGTATTTAAATTTTCAGACCTCACTTATTTGTCCAAAAAACAAAGGGTATTTTTGTACTCCGATATTAAAGGACATTAAAGAAAGTAGAACAAAAATCTCTATTAGAGCACAGATAACGTAATTAACAGAAACAGTTAATAGTTTGGGTACAAGTACCATCATCACTGTTGAGACTCATAAGTCTCTGTCTCAGAACTGAGTATGGTACTTGTTATTATACAAAAACTACAGCTTGTAGAACAGCATGTAGCATAAAGCAACTGCCATTATCAGTACAGAGAAATAATTATTTGTCTCGACACTGATTATGGTATTTGTTGTAATACCAAAACGCATGTCTGTAGAACAACACAT